TGTCATCCCATCTTTACCCATTGGACAGCACTGCACAGGTGTAATGCCATTTAAATGTCCTTTCAGACTCTTCATCAATTAATTCCTAGCTAGGCTTGGCCCCTTTTGCTCTGTTCCATACCACTGTGTTCTCTTTGCTATTACTCTCTCTGTTTATCTCATAATTTGTTTGTCCATTCATCTCCTCCACTGGGCTCTTCAGAAAAGAGCCAAACTCATGAACTACACTTAGTTAATATGTGCTGAATGTGCAAATGCGTCATAAATTGCAAAACATGCACACACGTTCTCCCATTATGTCCAGTGATACATTCTCAGGACAGTGTTCACCGAAGACCTAATTTCTGTCAAATTTCAGGCAATAGAAAAGAAGTATTATAGAGGGACTTCTGCTAAAAAAAAGAGGTTGACAAACCAAGTCTGACAAATCTCAAGGGGGCATTTTGAACCTTGCCAAACTGTGTTCATTTTGATTTACTGATAGGGAGATAATTCTGTTTTAATGAAAGCAGCACAAAGAAGCATATTTCCATAACACTCATTTTCTCGTTCAATAAGTATTTACTGAGTGCCTACCAGTGGCAAATGCTGTCTAGAATAAAGATATAAATAAGACAGTAAAAAAGAGAAGACACAGAACGCTATTTCCAAACTAAGCCTCACCGCTGAACCATTCTTGTATCTGTACAAGATATACGATTTTGTTTAGAATGGAGTTATGTGGCAATAAAAAAAAAGGATGCCTCAAGGTGTTATTTATAAAGAATGGACCGCAGGAATCTGAAGGGAGAGTGTCTCCGAAGGTAACATCACAGAGATGGAAATGGTGGAGGCTACAGTGGCCCGAGACAAGCCCACCTTTCGCCATCTCACCACCCAGTTATCACCGTGTTTAGAGAATCAGCTCCGCTCTGGCCAGTTTGGCTCAGCGGTTAGAGCGTCGGCCTGCAGTCTGGAGAGACCCCGGTTCGGTTCCCGCTAAGGGCAGTTAGTTCTCGGTTGGAGTTTGTCCCTGGCCCTGGTTGGGTCGTGTGGGTGGCAACCACTCAATGTGTCCCTTTCACGTCAATGTTTCTCCCTCTGTCCCTCCCACTCTATCTGAACAAAATATGGAAAAATGTCCTTGGGTGAGGACTAAAAAAAAAATAAAAAATAGCGAATCAGCTCCTCTCCAGAAGGGCACGGGGACGGGGAGCCCCTTAGCAAGGAGAAAGTAAAGTCAGGCCCCTAGTCTCCCTTTCCTAGTCACCTTTGCAAAGAGCAACTCCAGACTTTTAAAAAATTGTGCTTTCAAATAATTGGCTCCAGCTTGTTAATAGTTTGCAAACAAGCATTAAAATTTACTGGCCCATAAAAGTGTTTCAAGATTCTCAGGTACAAAGGTAGTGGGAAAAAAATGAGCCCTCTCTCCTGCCTCTCTTTACGACCACATGTTTATTGCATAAAAACCTATAGGAAAGGCATGTGTTAATAAGAACAGGAATGGCCACAAAGATTAAGACTTTAAAGTGACCTAATTATTGGTTTCTCTAAGATTCTTGCCCTCACTCTCCAATCAGATCTCCTTTCACTCTATAAACTTCTGAATTGATTAGCAGTTTTATTTGTAAAAGAAAAGAACTTGAACTTACGTTTAATAGGCCAACAGGAATGGTTCAGATAATAAATTGACCTCAATTGTGGTCCTTGCTTCTATGAAACCAGGGTTCACAGAACAGTTCAGGTAGTGATCAAATTTTCCTGTTAACTTTTGCAGAAGAAGGATACTTTTGTGATATCTTACTGGGTGCAAAAATCTCAGTACAGCGGGTCTTCGGATCGCGTCATTTTGTGCAGTGTGGTTTCGTAGCTGATGAGATGCCACGGGAACTGAACTCTTATTCATATCAATCAACCTATCGTAAAATTGGTTTCATAATACCTCATTTTGCTCAGTGTCACAGAACCTACGGATGCATTAAGTGAGGACTTACTGTATTGCCCTGCAGCTCTGAGAATCACAGTGCCATCTGACAGAATGTTCTGTGATGATGGGAAACTCCGTACCTGTGGTGTTGAGTACTTAGAATATGACTAATGACTGCATTTTTAATTTTATTTCATTGTAATTACTTTAAACTTAAATAGCCACATATTACTAGTGGCTACTGTACTGGACACCTTCAGCTCCTGTCCCAAGGGCAAAAACAGAACCTGAGCCACGCTGATCGCGGGCTCGTCACAGTGTCGCTGCCTTTGGGATTACGGATTAGAAGTCCAGAGCACGGATGGCCTGAGTGACCCAACCCTCTTATGGCCCCCGACTCCTAATGCTACAAAACTAACTAGCACGTCAGCTTGATCCCACCATGCAGGTTACTTTTCTTATTCTTAAATATATATTTAGAGCACATTCCAAAGTGCAGGGATTCACCTGCAGCCGTAGGAGATACGGTGGTGATGGTAAAGTCATCAGGATGAGGAATCATGAATTATAAGAAAGAATAAGTGATGTAAATAGGGAAAAAGAAACTTATTCATGAACTGGCCTTTTTACATGCCTCCAAAATGTGAGCTCTCCAGGGTGTGACCTGTGGGGGAGACACCTACAAGCACCTTACTGATATGTTAGTTGAACTTAGTTCCCCATTAAATTTCTCATAGAAATCTTGCAGGTGTAATGAATCACATCATGTGTTTTATACAGCAAGTCTCGAGAGCCTCGTGATTCCCCACAGCAGCAGGGAGTTTCAGAAATCTATAACTGTGGTCTTTTTTTTTTTTTTTTTTAATCCTCACCTGAGGACATTCTTCCATTTTTTGTTCAGGTAGAGTGGGAGGGAGAGAGAGGAACAGAGAGAGAGAGAAACATCGATGTGAAAGGAACACATCGAGTGTCTACCACCCGCACAACCGACCAGGGCCGGGGACAAACTGCAACCGAGGTATGTGCCCTTAGCGGGAACCGAACCCGGGTCTCTCAGGACCGCAGGCCGACGCTCTAACCGCTGAACCAAACCGGCCATGGCAACTGTGGTCTTTCTTGCATTTTCTTCATTCCTCTTTTATTCTGTCATTTTATTTTATCTATATTTTTATCTCATGATTTTTGAATAACTTTTTCTTAACTGACATTGTTTTGCTGCACCTATGAGAGATCTCAGCTTTATCCTCAATGTGTTGTTGGTCTCCTTTCACAACGGTGTGACTCTTTGGCACTGGGTTATTTCAAAATCTCAACTTCAGGGCAACTGGTCTCTTCATATGGACACAAAGGGAAAACAGTTTTAGACTATATGCTATTCTGATGTCTACTTATTCAAAGGTATAGAGCTTGTTTTCAGTGTTCAAGTTTGAGTGGGGTTCTATCTTACATACACTGTAATTTTCTATCTTTTTTTTTTTTTTCCAATTCCTGATGCTATTTTGAGTCTTTACTTCACATTTATCCCCCCATCTCATTAGTCTTGGACTGTTAAATGCTGTTCTTCCTCTTCCAATATGCCAAAGAAAACTTTCTTCATATTTCAAGCATACCTTTTTGAAATCTGGACCATTCATCTAGTATACAGGTCTAAAATAATAATGGTGGACATGTGATGTAGTGCTTTCTCAGGGAGTGTCTTTGTGATTTCTTTCTAGGATAAGCCTCTTCTACTTTGTATACGTTGAGAGAATGCCTTGTTTCCATGGAGGCCCTGCGTTTACATCCATATCTGCTCTGATTGTCTACACTAGATGATTTCCCTAATGTCATTTTTCACCTTCTGTTGTCCTTATTACCATGACACTAAAGATACACACTTGGACTCTTCTCCCCAAAGTTATAAATTTTGCTTACATCTCCATCTAAGTATTATTGTAACATGACTCATACATTATGAGAGCAACATTTCTTAAACTAAAAATTCTCCTAAAAATTGATTCTTTCTTAAAGCAACCAACAAAAGGCATCTTTGAAGATAACTAAGCTGTACTCATTGTTCCGGGCTCCTGGCCCAAGGACTTCCCACCGTCTCCCTGGAGTCAACCTTCTCTTCCCAAAGATGAGCTATGGCTTCTCTGTGCTTTTTTGGTTCATTTATTTACTGAAGGAATTGTGTTCCACCTTATGTTCAGATACTATTTTTCTAGTCACATCTGCACAAACATTTTATTTAGAATTTCAACTACCCCACCCTGCTCTAACACCTCTTACCATATGTATTTTTCTCCATAGCAACACCTTCTAAGATACTTAATATATCTGTTTATTATGTTTACCACTTGTCTCCCCCTACTAGAAGGTAAACTCCATGAGGGAAGGCAGTTTTGTTTGTGTCATTGATATGTATCTCCCTGGCCTAGAATAGTTCCTGTCAGTAGGTGATAAGTAAAATCTGTGAAATTAACAAATGTTCTGTAATGAAAGAACTTTCTCTAATTTCCCCAATTCTAAAAATGAACAACTAAACAATAATAGTCGCATGCACTCATCTATAAGATATCTGATGGAGAATAAAGTGTGACTTTCCCATTTTGCATAAACAATTCTACAACACCAACGGAGAAACTTTTCTTATCTAGTCCCCAAAGTTTCACTACCTGAATCCTGCCATATTGTGACTCTCATCTGTGTGAATTGTTTCATTGACTGCATAATAAAGCAAGCTTAATTTTTCATTAGATTGTGATAATAGGAAAGCCTGATAAATTGTTTAGGGTTTTAATTAGTAAAAATGTACATGGACTGGCAACCAACTTTCTGAATTGCTCTGGTTTGAGGCTCCGCTCCTCAGTCAATGTGGAAGTGGGAACAGGAGTTAAGGAAATGATATATAAGTAGCTTTTTCCTAAGAGGCTTAGAGATTTGAATACATATTATTTATATTTAATGATTAAAGAGCTGCTGGCAAGCGAACAATTGGATTTATTCCTATTAAAAATATATTAGGGAGCAACGCTGCCATGGGGCACTCAAACACCGGAAGTCAGCGCATCAATAACCCAACAAGCCGGTTTCCTCCTTCCCTGTGGCTAACCTTCAGTCGATGATTCCTTGGCTGCGGCCCACAGGCAGGCGCTCACAGCCTCGTACGAGGCGCTCAGCCGCGTGGTGGGGTCCCTCTTTGGTTTGGGCGGAGGCTGTTTCCGTGGTGATGGGAGGCCACTGCTGTCATCCAGGCTGAACACCGAGTGCAGAGAAGGAGATCTGGTGGACGGGCCAGCCAGCACCTGCACCAGGCTGTCCACAGCCATGGGGACTGGGACGGAGCTGCAGTGGAAATGCCTGGTTCCAACCCTGTCTTCAGTTCTTGAGGGAAACAAAACACAAACAGCACCCCACCAGAGAGGCCCGGATGCATTATTCAGAGGTTAACAATGCACCTGCTCGACCAGACCTAATCAAGGCTTTTTGTAAACAGCCTTCCCCACCGAGGCTGAAGGACGCATGTGAAGCGCTCTGGTAACTGACACAGCCAGAGAACCGCCCCAACCTCCCGGCCTCTGCTTTATGATAAATGAGAACCTTGGAGATGCAGCATTATTACTTAAAAATAAACCTCACGCAGATGCAACACTTCTTAAGGAGTGCTACATTTTCTATCAGGCATTCGCTGAATGAATTTTTTACACCCTGATTATGAAAACAAATCAAAAAACCAGAATTTCAATCTGAATGATAATTTCTGGAGAATCCATCTTAATAGAGAGTTACTGATGCATCAAATGCTAGGAGTTCATCACCACTTCACCTTGCAAAACAGCACATACTTAAAACTATCAAAGATTTACATTGTTTTCTCCCAAAGTCATTGAATAAACTTCATCGGCAATTATTTAATTATGTGCAGAATTATTATTTCTCTTCTCTTATTTCCTCTGGTTGTCCAATGCCAAGTAAACTGCTGGTATTCAACAAATAAATAGACAAATACTTCTTCACTTAATTTTATAGCAGGCAAATGAACACATAATCAAATTGAGAAATTGGGGTGGCTGTTTAGCTCCAGCAGAGAAAATAACAAACATTATTCTGGAAGCCACATAAAATTATTAGTTATCCGGTTTAAAAAAAAATTCCTTCTGGCTTCACATGTCAATGTAATCATGCACGACCGAGATGCCAATGCACTCATTTCGAAGGAGTCGGAGCATTTGTTTTTATAATGATATCTGTGTGTGGCGCAGCACCAGCAGGCCGGTCGACCGCACGGCAGAGCCAGACGCCCTGTCGAAAATGAACTAACGGAAGATGAAAGCAGGGCACTCGGTGGGTAATTTGTTTTCCCTGTAATGTTTAATTACAGCTTTCCATACAAAGGGATTTTTTCCCCCAGTATTTAATCACTGAGATATTTGAAGCTAATTAGTGAGAGACGCATCACCATTTCCACTTTAATAAAAAATCACTTGACATAGGCAGTCCAGGCAAAGGGGAATCATTTTTTCAGTGAAAAACCACCAAATATTACCAAGTTCCTATGAAAAAACAAGCATCGTCTTGACAGTGAATTAGGATCCAGGGACCCATGTCCCTGTCCTCCCGGGGAGGGGGATTATGAATCACAGGTGTTTCATCATTCACCGGGAGGCAAGTATGACACAATGGAGGAGGATCAGGTTGTGCCTATTTCAAGGTCAGCCTCCAAAGGGAACTTTTAAAATAAGAGGCTTCCGCCCTGGCCGGTTTGGCTCAGCGGTTAGAGCGTCGGCCTGCGGTCCTGAGAGACCCGGGTTCGGTTCCCGCTAAGGGCGCGTACCTCGGTTGCAGTTTGTCTCCGGCCCTGGTCGGTTGTGCGGGTGGCAGCCACTCAATGTGTCTCTTTCACGTCGATGTTTCTCTCTCTCTCTCTCTGTTCCTCTCTCTCCCTCCCGCTCTACCTGAACAAAAAATGGAAAAATGTCCTCGGGTGAGGATAAAAATAATAATAATAATAATAAGAGGCTTCCCCCAAAGGGTTCCTTATTGACAAAGAAAATGTGACAATTTACTAAGGAAAATATCTATATAATCATGTATTGGTTTCACTACTTTTATGTTTTCACAGTGGCTTCTCCATTTGTTCTGGTCAGATTTCCAGAAGTTTCTATGAGTCAGCCTTATATACATGACCCTGTATAAAGACGTTGAGAGCCCAGCTAAGACAGAAATGTTAGGTGTCTTAAAACGTTGTGCTTGAGATGGTAAGTGATGCGAGCATTGTAAGTAAAGCAATAATTATTTCATAAGACTAAACTAATAAAAACTAACACAGCATTTATTTCATGAAAAGAAGGCAGAGGAAAAGCATCCTCTTCGATTGTGCTGAGGTTTCAGATAAACCACGCGGGCACTCACGCCCGTTCCCGGGATCACTGTCCTATTTGATTGAACTTTGCATTCAGGGCTATTGAAACTTTCTTGACTCCACCGAATCAGTTGCTTAGATAATTAAAGTTGCCCACTATCGCCTTTACCTTTTGGTTCCTTCCTCTTGTTTGTTCCTGGTCTCCAACTTCTCTTTGTGGTAAGTAGCATTCATTTCATTCCGGAGCCGGTCATTCTCACGAGCAATGTCTGAAGCATTTTGAATGACCAGGGCATCATAGGTCTTCAGCCCCATGTCCTCTGTAATCTGCAGGAAGCTGTTGATGGATGTGGCCTCTTGCAGTCTGATGCTTCTTTTCTGCATCAAATGCTGGCGTGCCAGAAATCCTCTTATCACTTCCACATAAAAGAACGTAATCGAGGGTCAGTGAGGGAAGCAAAAGCGGAAAAACCCAGATGCACACAAACAAAAGTCACAATACATTTATGTCTGAGCTGCTACAAAATAAGATGTTTAACTCAGATTACAATTTACCAAAACATTCTAATCTTGCGTTAAAAAAATACCTAAAACACTAGAGACATAAATCCTTAAACTGAATGAGATCGTGCAAGTAATATTATAATAAGGTTCCCATACCTGTTTTGGTTTGAGAAGCTGCACACTGATGGACTGGACTAAAGTAAGTGAAAAAGAATTTGGTCTAAACCCCAGATAATTGGGGGGGGGTCTCCAACTGGACCATTTTGGGATGCACTGATTACCTTCCATTATGTCAGATTATAACAGAAATGCTGAGGCTCCTGGAATTAGTCTTTGAAAACATCATGTACATATTGTTAATAGGACTGTGATTTAACGGCTAGAAAAACTAACACTGCATTTACACCTCTAAGAGGAGACTGTGTAGAAATATAGGGCATCCTTCCTGCTCTCTGGGGAAGCAGGGCTACAAAAATGTGTAAGAATTGAGGGGGAAATGCTAGTGAACACATTTTGAAATTGCTAATTTCAGCACACATGTAAGACTTGAAAATAAAAATAATGAGCATGATTTAAAGACACTTCCATGTTTTAGGAACACTGTTCCATCACTTAGTGCCCTTACTCAACAATACTTAATATGCCATTATCTCCATTTTGTAGACAAAGAAATTTTAGTGAGGCCTTACTACAGTATGTAAGCCTCATTGTAAATAACATCTTCATGGTCTCATTCAGGTTAAGGATTTTTGCCTTTAGTGTTATCTGAATTCAGATATACCATTTTAATGGGAGATTAGAATGTTTTAGTCAATTCTTATTCTGGCTTCAATGTATCTTCCTCAAAGTAAACACAGGCAATGAATAGAAGGGCCAGGGTTCAAGTCTCTGATTATCAGGCCAAGCTCCTTCCCTGAGCCTCCAGCCATACATACATCACATGATCTCTGACTCTGCAGAGAGCAGATCACGACAGGGAAGTCATGGGTAGCATGTTTGTGGTCAGTGTAAGGAAGGACTTTCTAACATCGGGCTCAGGATATCAATGGGCCCAGCTGTGTCCTGAGAAAGGGACTCTGCTTCCCGTCCCCGGGCAGGTTCACGAGAGCAACATGGCCCTCCCTGCTCCGAGGTGCTGTGGACAGATGCAGGGGCAGGAATTACCACTTGGATCTTTTGACTCTGGGATGCCATCCCTTCCACTTCTAAATTTCTAGGATTAGAAGAAATTGTTAGAATTATAAGGAAATCTATACTTTCCTGGGAAATCAATGCGTGTAGCAAAGACACTTTGTTCTTGTCTGTGGGGGAGGGGGGAATAAAAGGCTGTGGAACACCAAGTGCTTTAAAATAGTCATGGCTACACAAGAACACATGTGTGGGTTATCTATGATACTCATCTGATGCCTTTTCTTGATTACAAGGTGGAAAGCTGAACACAACTTTCCACAATTACGGCTTCAGAGGCAAGGGATATGCAGACATCTAAACTGCTTAAGGCTTTTCTTCTGATGGCAACACTAAATGTTCAGTTGCTCTGGAATGCAGTGGTATTGAATTAACTGCAAAACAGTCATGCTGAACTAATCTAAAGGAAAAACTTAAACAGTAAAAGGTACAACCACACTTCTAGCAAGAGAAAATGAGAAATAAAATGCAGACACGTTAACCATGTGATAGGCACATGGAGAGAGCAGCAGAATTCAAACTGGCCGGTTCCCTTGCTAATTCTCTTAAGGAAAAAACAAACGAAAACCCCGAGACACTGACTTTTGGAAGAGTCAAGATGTTTAATCTCCTGGAATAAAGGGAATATTCAAGTGGAAAGATATGCCAGACTTCCTGTGACCTCCAAATACCGCAGAGATACTCGCTGGCTCCACACTGACCCTGAATCAATCACCCTGCATCCAGAGGGCCCCGTCTTCTCACATTTCGTACTAGTACCTTTTCTAATTCTTTAAAAATGTTATACCAGTTGCTAAAAATTGGGGTCTTGAATAAGGGACAACTAATAAAACTAAATTTGCTACAAATATACATTGATACTTATTCTCTTTCTGACAACTTTAAAAGACTTCTCTTATAAGATTTTAAGTTTCATCCAGGATAAAATGAACATTTATAGTCAGAAATTCCTGTTAGGGATAATTTGAGATAGAGATGATTACATTTAAGATTAAGAGTAACAGTTTTCTTCCCCCCAACATTTATAAAGAAAAAAAATGAAAACTCTTAAAAACTGGAAATGACACCAGGTTATATAAATTTTGAGTAAATTTCATAGCAGCAAAAAGTACTGAAGGAACTATTCCAAGAGATATAAAAATAAAAATCAATAATTAATGCTTCACATTTAAGAGCCTATAATTTAAAAAATGCTTTTATAGCCTTTCTTTCATTTGTGCAATATGAAATTGTGATTCTCATCCTGATGTCATTTTTTTTGACCATTCTCAATTTTTATCTTTAGAAGTAAAGATATAACTGGAATTCTGTTCATTTCTTCCATTTCTGGTTAGTGGGGCATAGCAACTTAATCTTTGTAACAGAATAAAAGAGACATTTCTAGTGAGCACCTCTGATGGAAGATAGGGTACACATTCTTCTAATTATATGTAAGGACAATTTCCAGGAGAATTTGATACTCCAGCCTATGTACATAATACTAAATGCATGATATTAAATGGGTTCCCAGTTGACTCCATAGTTTAGTGATCGTAACACTGGTCTTGTAAATGGGATTCTTCTCATTCCAATTTCAGCTGAATGCAGATTCTAATTCCGGAGGTCTGGGATGGGGCCTGAGACTCTGCCTTTCCAACCCTCCCTGGGGGGTGCTGAGGCTGCAGGTGCTCAGATCACGTGGTAGTTTGTCGGGGCTGGCCATGCGAACAGGAACAGCAAACGTGTGGTCCAAAACAGATCTATGACCCCAGCCTCTCTCTATGCTGATGAAGGACAAAATGAAGGAGACCAGATTATCATCACCCAGAGAAGCAAGAGTTGCCAAGACTAGAGGGTGGGTCCTTACCCTAACCTGAGGCTTCCCCCACTGCCCTCGACCTCCAGGCTGGTAAAAGTGGCTTCAGGGGACCACCCAGAGAACTTGCTATGCAACTCTGGAATTCGGAGGCCATGGTGGACGGTGAGTCCTGAGAAGACCGATGCTGCGTCAGTGGTTGCTGCCAGGCACTGGGTGCAGGCGGCCATGCTGGCAGAAGCTGCATCTGTCAGGGTCCCAGAGTGTGGTTCTCCAGCCAACAGACATGGTTTGGAAAATAGATGTCTGCTTGGAGTCATTTAAAGAGACTTCTTAGAGAGCACTGAGGCCTGGGCAGGGAGTGTCCATGGGGTCCCAGGCGCTGAGCGGGGATTCCAAGTGACTGTCCAAAGGAGAGGGCTCACCAGTTCTCAGGTGGGTGGTGCAGGTAAGTGCTGAAATGAGCCTACATATTCAAAGAGCCACTGAATACCTGTTCGCCCCACCAGAGGAACCGCAGGCCAGATCACACTGGTGATGGTCAGACAGAAGAGCTGCCCTGCCCCCTCTTTCTCTCCCCTTCGTCAGCTCTGGAGGGTCGCAGGGTGAGCATGCCGCTGAGTAGGCAAGGATGAGAACCGTGCCCACTGCCCACCTGTGGGGCCTGAGAGGTTCAAGAGGGACGTTTTTGTTTAGAATGAGGTGCTGAATTTTGAGCATTATTTGGACTGAACTTGCTAAGTTCTAGTGAGACTGCTTGAAGGACTAGAGTGCAGGACATTTTATCATCAGAAAACGATGAAACATTGGCGATTTCATGAGGGGTGTGCCTACATGAGGACACGGGTTCAAATGGACAGAGGCTTGAACAGAATACAACTGATTTCTGCATTGCATGAGTTGTCTTGTTTTGAACAGCTTCAAGTATATCAGAGAGCTAAGCTCATTACTACAAATTCCACCCAAAACTAGTATATAGATTAATTTTTCTCCCTTTTACCTTTCTTTGAAAATTATATTTATAATACATAATTAAAGTTTTAAGCAGATTAAAAATTATAAATCTATTAAGTATGTGTATGTGAGGCGTCGTTATGATTTTTAATATGTACCCATTCATTTTTGATGGCTACTTGGATTTTGATAAGAAAAAAATCTAAATGGACTTTCTCTCAAAGTTAAATGAAAAAATACTACCTGCTATCAAAGATGACACTCCAGATATTATCATGGCTTCACAAAACAAAAATAAAGTCACGGATTTTTCCATGGCACACGTGGAATCGTAAAACGTGATCTGGCTCAGAAGGGCTGCTCCCGTCCTCCAGACTCGAGCAGGCCAGCGGCGCTGACTGAGCTGGTCTGGGAGCCGGCTCCACAGCTGGACCTGAGTGCACACGGGTTTTCCCACCGTGGGTTCAAAGGTACATTCTTCTTGTCAGGGTCACTGGGCAGGGATATTTGCAAGGTTGAGGATGCATAAAGCATTGGATATGAATATCCCTTCTTCCAAATTGTGACTTAGATAAAACTTTGCTATAAAATATCCGATGAAATGACTACCAAATTAAGCGTGAGCAGTGCCGTGTATGTACATGCTGAGTCAGAGACAGGTACAGAGCAAACTAAGCCACAGTACTTCCTGAACACCCACAAACTGTTCACCTGAAAGTAGCATCATGGGGTGGTTGGAGGGGTCCACTCTAATGTAGACCCACTGATATTTAAACTTGGGGGTGAACAAAATTATTTTGTATTCCACAACTCAAAAATATTCAGATATGTTAGTGTGTGCTGTTACCTTTTTGACAGGTGATGATTTTTCTCTGCAGCTGTAGGCACAGATCATTGAGCTGCTTGGCATGCCAGTATTTTAGAAACACTTTTCGGACTCCCATCTAAAACATAAAGAGCAGGGAAACATTTAACAGCGCAAAGATGCCAAAACGATGATGAGAAAACCATCAGGCAAGAGATTTTTCCAGAAGACAATGAGGAAAAACAAAGCTAAAAGAATTAACTTCAGTACATCTTCTTTATTATTTTTTAACACTATTACATTTAATCCCAATCTCAAAATTTTGTTCTAATAAGTATCTTTACCGTGTACACATTGTCAACAATATTTGCAAATGTCTACACTACACAGTTGTGGTGGTTGCACTGTGTAGTGCAAAATACTGACTGGCTTTGCCCTGGCTGGTTTGGCTCAGTGGTTAGAGCACTGGCCCACAGACCAATTAGTCTCGGGTTTGATTCCGGTCAAGAGCACATACCTCGGTTGTGGTTCATCCCCAGCTCTGGTAGGAGTTGAGCAGGAGGCAACCAGTCAATGTGTCTCTCTCACATTGATGTTTCTCTCTCTCTCCCCCTCTTCCTCTCTCTCCCTTCCTCCTACTCTTGCTGAAGAAAAATAGAAAAATATCCTCAGGTGAGGATTGAAAAAAAAAATACTGACTGGCTTTGACTCTTTCTATATCCCCACCCTCCTTTGCCCACCTCTATCCAGCCCCGGCCACCCCTGTCTTGGCCTTCACCACTCTGTCGTCTGTGTTCACGGGCTATGTATTGATGTGCCTTGGCTACTCTCTTCCCCTTCTTTTATCCAGTCCTCTAAAACCAACACCATAAATGAATTCTCACACTCCAGAGCCAGACCCCTATCTTTTCTTTTGTGACCCTTTTCTTTCCTTGACTCATAGCAGGGAAGTTAAAGTTACAAAAAGGAAAACAAACAAACCAGAAGACCAAAACAAAACATACAGCAGACACACAAAACTGTTCCACATCATTTCATTTTCCTACTACACAGTATATCATTACACATTGAATGCACGCAGTCGCAATTATAGAACTGCAACATCGAAGTAAAAAGTCTCCCCAAAGTCATGTATGAGCAATAATCTTCTAGACGTTTACATGAACATAAATATACAATGAACATTCTTCTCTAAAATTGTTAAATTTCATCACGTCACCAAATTCGTTTCTATAAAACAGGCTGGTGCTGTGCAAGTCAGTCCAAATGTGCCGCTATTGATGAAGGCAGCGAGCAAGGGAAGTTCTTAAAAACACGTAATAATATGCCATGCCCTGCATTTAAAAAAATAATGTTCTTGTGTGTGGTGCTCAGTTTCCAAGAACTCACAGAGCTGTGGTACGTGTGAGGAATGCCCTTTGCGATGTGCACGCTCCCCGTCTCTTTGGGGAGGCACACAGAAACCACTGCAGAAAGCCTGGCAAATACTGGCACGAAGCACTGTGGATGCTCTGATATTCTGTTAGACAAAGAAGACATACTGCTCAGGCAAACCTTGTAATATGGTCATAATCATATTCTCAGCACTTGAGACAAACAGCGCTAAAATAAGAGGAAGACTAACGTGTGTTCTCCCAAGCATGGGCTGGGGACATGAAATGATAACACGGCGCCGCCGATGTTGTACATCACGGTGACACTGAAGCTTTCATGTGCATACGCACCATTAGGTACTGGAAAGGTTTATAGGTCAGACTTGTCTTTGGAGTGCTTGGCCAGAGGCAGTTTATGAACCTTTTCATAGGGAAACTGGGTTGACTTCAAACATATTTTGTCACCTCCTATCTTTTCTTCTTAGCCATGTTGTCTTAATGAGACACACGGTTTTGCAAGGAACTGGGACCTGAATCTTGCACTATGGTAGTCAGGCTAGTTCGTTGGAGCAATGGGGAAAGTTGCTCAACTACTATCCTGCTTCAGAGGCATCTGGTTGACTAGATGTTCTTCATTTAGTTTTCTTTTAGTTGGTTGAAATTTGAGACATTTGCCTGGGTGGGCGGCTACAAAGAGTTGTTACTGCTTTCCCCATTGTATTGCCATCCACTCTTCCTAGTTATTTTCCATAATTCACAGTCTTTTTTTCCCCCTTCCTGACTGTTGACTTATTTTGGCAGTCAACAGGAAGAACAGTTGGTACTGTCTGTGAGCACTGCAGAACAAATCTGTGAGACAGGCCTTGGGAAGGAGGGAGCATGTCATCTTTCTGCTCATCCCTGACTGTGGTATGTTACCAATTATGGGAAACTAAATCACAAAGGCAAAATTCATGCAAACCTGAGTCCCAAAATGAAACTCTAAAAAAGTGATAACCAGCAACACTTCATAATGGGTGGAACTGGTAATAATCATTACGAGAACTAACATATGGAAGGAACACAAGGGGGAAAGACCTATGGAATGCAACTATAGCGAACTGGATTCTAGTTCCACCCCGTACTTAAAAGGAGACCCTGGGCAGGAAGAGACTTAGACAACTAAGATCTCTTACAGTGACATTTCTAGCAGCCATTCAAAAAAACAACATTTATTTATCTTGAGAATTCTGCTAGAAACTCATATGGAAAGTCCTCCATGAACAAATCCAGCAAGGACACATGCTCAGTACAATGATAAGAGTTATGTTTAAGACCATCAGGGAGGAGGAGGTGATTAAGGTGGAATCAGGTAAGATTCACTGAGAAGCACATTATCCAAGCCATTTAGTCTTGAAGAATATGTAAAAATTTTCCAGGGTGTCCAAGCCTGTTGGGAAAGCAGAATGTGGGGCAGAAAAACTCATATGTGAAAGGCAAGGAGCAGGAGACGACGAACCCTCTTGGGGTGCAGCTGTGTGAAGAGTGCTGAGAGAAGAGGCTGCCTAGCTGGTGGCCAAACCATGCAGGGTATTCCAGGAAAACATGGACATTTTCCTGTGTGCAACGTGGCTAACGTGAAAGAATTAAAGGGGGTCAGATCTAAGTTTTATAAAGTTCTTTATTTTTTAAGGAGAATGGATTATTGGGTTTGGTTTGGGGAGGTAGTCGGTTGTCAAGGTGGGACAATATAATGCAACCAACAATTTGTGTTTGGAAGATTATTCAGTCGTCCCTCGCCACTTCGTGCTTCGACTTTCATGGTGTCACTCTATAACGGTTTTTTCAAATATTTGAAATAAAGAATCCTATTTTGTGGAAATCCATTGATTGCGGTAGAGTCTGGAACTGATTAACCACGATAAACGAGGGCTGACTGTACAACTGCAGCTTGTCTGTTGGACAAGCCTTCATTATTAGATTTCTGATACTCATTCCTTCACTTCCAGTAGGGCTTTGATGACTTTCACCTGTGTTCCCAGAGCACCCTATGAATGACTCTTTCTTTCTCCTATTGCATAGCATTGCATACATATTCACATCTCCTGATAAATATGAAGAGATATTCTTGATCTTACAAGTGGTAGAGATGTGGGGAGGGTAGATTTAGATTAGAAAGAGCAGATGAGGAACTGTGAAGTCCTTGCATAAGATGACTCATAGAGATGGATGATAATGTCTTCAAGGATGAAAATAAGGTATGACTGACCATGAAAATAGAAGCCAGACCCAGAAGTCATTCAGCACACTGGGAATAAGTCATGGGCATCAGTCAGTGATAGAATAAGTCATGGTGGAAATAAAAGGAAAAAGAAAAGTGGAGTGAAAATGGTCCGCAAATGGAGTAGACATAAGACAAGGCTGGAGAGCAATGATTCAGCTGCCCCCCTCTCCTCTACAGAGACAAAAGACATGAGAAAAAGTAAAACCTTATGATAGAGTATTGTCAGAAAATATCCAATTAGTTTATATATGTAGGCTAAACCAGAAGGGGAGTGAATACGGAAGATGAAGTGGATTCTTCTCAGGATATATTAGAGATTCCATAGAACCTGACTGTGGGTAGTCGAGAAGCTGTCTGCATGTTCCACAGGGCCAGTTTGCATGTCAGGCCAGACTTGGAAGCAGGAAAATAAAGTTCTTGCTGGGATAAAAGCAAGGGAGGATGGAGCAGGGTGGGTATGTGAGGGTGCGGGGCATGTGCGAGGGAAGGTGGAATGTTAGACAGGCAGACATATGTAATGTTGGGAAGCAGAGAACAGGCCAGTTCCCAAAGCTCCTGGTGAGTTTTTGGTGTAGTTATGTCCATAAAAATTCTCCCTGCAGAGGTAAAACCAAGGTCTTTGAAAGCAAGGAGGGTTTCTGGGGATATGATTCAGTGGGAGAGGGAGGGAAATAAAGTCTGAATCCACATTAAAAGTATCCTGTTAAGACACAGCTGAAGACTGTGTGGAAATGGCTAGGTATCGTGCTGCCATCACATTCAGATAATTAGAAAAGTTTTACATTCACCTATTTGGTACACTTCACAGTGGTTCAATGGATTGATTCATTATTTCATGTTCACTCATTCATTCATTCACATTTTTTACCATGTAATTTATTTGTGGATTGGCAGGATTTGGAGATGCTCATTGAAAATGTTAACATTTGTTTGACTTTGCTGGTCTTTGGGGGCTGCCATGTTTGTAGTGAATGTTTCATCTCTCCTGAAAGAATACAATTAGCCCTTCAGTAGTAGTTTGGATTTCTTCCTCAGAAAGTATTCTGAGTAATGCATTTCAGTCCTTAGGTCCTCTAGTGTCCCTGATGTTAGGGATTAGTGGGCACACATCTAGAAATCTTTATCAGGAAAACTCAGACAAGATCATATGAATTTTAAATTTGCAGGAACTTGACATGGCCTATTAATGAGATGGAGTAGGAGGAAAGTCTTAGCCATTTTAATTTTTCTATGGAATGAATTCACGTGAAGTGACCCTGTAATCAGGGCCTTACTGTGCTGTATCAGATCCAACAAATCAGGATTCATCCAAATGAAACCAAATGTTTGGATCACCTGTATTCTTGATTTCAGTTTCATTCTCTTATAAAGAGATATTTTGCTCTCACACCATAGAAAGGAGAGACTGAAACATTCTCCTACTGAGCTCTCTCCCTGTGTACTCCCTAGTGCAGAGTGTTCTGATCTGAGATTAAAATGTTAATGTCATTCTCATCCCTGTAA